GTAAAAGGGACGATGTCGGAAATCACATTCGCCCACCTCAGCAGTCTTAGCAGAAACTCATTGTCTGTGCATGTAGGCATCCATGTGTACTGAATTGACTGTCTCCTAAAAAGATTACTCTGCGGTCTCGCTATCACTGACCTGATCGCTTTTTCTTCCCACGGCGGGGCAAGTCGCAGGATCTATCTCTTTTTGCGATTACTTCTCTGTTGCCGCATCCCTCACATGTACTGATAAGTTCCTCGGATCGGCTTCCAGGAAGCTACACCATGATCCATATCTTGTTTTTATCTCGCAAAACACATTCCAGGTTTTTACTTTCCTCTATCTTCATCCTTATACCCGAGCAAGAAAGACTTAAATATTTCATAGTTGCTGGGTGTCGATCTATCTATAGATTCAATAATAACTATCCACTAAATCGAGGATTGATGTCGCTTTTTGCTCAGTTATCGTCGCTAGGTCCGGGGAGGGGGGGCGCAGGGGGGGGAAGCCCCCTGTGCCAAAGGTGGGGGGAGTCGGTGCCGGGTCTCCCCCCCAACCCACCTAGAAAAAAACCTGGGCCTCCAGTGTTGGCCCTAGGTCCTGGTGGCGTGCCAGCCCCTCCCCCCATGGCCAGGCTGAGTTCCTCACCCAAGTCTCCCCACCCCAAGGAATTGTGGGGGTGTCCACAGGTGAGGGGGCCTGCAGTAGGTGGCCCGGGTGATGACTGGGGTTTTGTCTTGAGAGGGGTGGGAAGGGGTGTGTTTGGGAGAGCAAATGGGACTCCCTGGCTCCCAGGCCGTGGTGGGGGGAGCTCACTGGGCAGTACTTTGTGGTTCCTGCGGGACAGGGAGGGGCAGGCCCTCCCCAGAGTGAGGCACTAGTTTCGGGGGGAGGGGCCATGATCTAGATTAGGATCCTCTAGGGGTCAGGGCACCTTCCTTTCCCCAGATGGGGTAGGGACACCAAGCCCCACCATAAGCCTTCCCTCCTCCCCTCCCCCACTCCCGACTTGCAGAAGTCTCAGCACCAACCGTCAGGAGGGCTGGGTCCCAGGTGTCCTCCACGGCCCAGGGGCCCTGCCAGGCTCTCGCATCTGCTTTGCAAGCGGGATACAAAGCAGGACAGTGCAGCCGGCCTGCAGCTCCTAGGGCAGCTAAGAGGCCTGAGTGGTGTGGCGCCCTGGGATTCTAGAGCAGAGAAGGGCTGGACCCTGCTGAGGGTGCGCGCTCTGGGCTGCCGGGACGTCCTCCAGCTCTTCCCTCCCCAGCCTGCTGCGGGCGAGCCGTGGTGCTGGACCCCATCTGGTGGGGGAGCACACAGAAGCTCGGGGAGGCAGGCAGCCCCACCAGTGGTGACTTTGTGGGTTTAGGAAGCTCTCCGTGAGTGTCTGAAGAGCCACAGACTGCAGTCAGGGGTCCTGTTCCTCTGACCGACCCGCAGAGCCCTGGGCTGGCCTCAGTGTGCCCAGACTAACTGAGGAGGACCTGGTCAGGCCCAACTGACCAGTCCTCAACCCTCCACCCAAAGCCCCTGAGCCCCATCCTCCTGCAGACTGGGGTGGGGGTGGTGGTTGAGTGGGGTAGTGGGGCAGCTGATGCCTCTGCTCCTGGTTCCCCCAAGGCAGGGCCCCGCGCCCCCACCTGCTGCTGGCCTTGACCCAAGGGCAGGAGAGTGCAGGTGCAGCGGCAGGGTCAGGACAGTTGAGGCATCTGCCCTCGGCGCAGCCAGCCACCCTGAAGGCTGGGTGACCTTGGGCAGGCAGATGGTGGGAGCCACTTAACCCTGCGGCCGCTGGGGCAGAGGGAGATCAAAGCTAGACCCCAGAAGCACCCAGGAGTGTCGCCACCTGTCTGTGGAGGAGCTCATGACCCTTTCCCATCCCCCCATCCCCCCTGCCATGGGGGGCGATCCCAGGGGCTTGTCACCCACCCCACAGGCAAGGGAGCCGAACCATAGACTGAAGGACAGAGGTCTGAGTCCCTGTGCCCAGGGAAGCTGCAGAGAGCCAGCCCTCGCCTCCTCTCTAACCTGCACTGGCTGCCCATTGAGTCGCAGTGAAGTAGCTCAGCTGTCCCAGCCCACTGCAGTCTGGCGACGGCTGTCACCCTCTGTCCCCTGACCTGAGAAGCCCCTCCTGCCTCCCCTTCCCCTCTGGATCTGACCTGGGCTGGCGCCCGGTAGAAAGCTGAACTGGACTGCATCGGTGGCTTGGAGACAGTGGTGCGTGTCTCCGTGTGCTGCGACGGTCTGTCTCCACGTCGGGACCCTGAGCTCCAAAAAGCCAGGGCTGTCTCGTCCCCACACGGCCAAGACATTGTCCCACAGTCCGGCGCCTCGTCCAGCACATGGGACCAGCTGCAGCCCCGTCGCGGGTTCTGTTGGCCCAGTGTATTTGAAACGTTGGCCTTTGTCGGTGGTGCTAAAACAAGGTTAGGAGAGTTCATGTGCAGATACTGGTGTTCAGGAAAACAAGGTGATATGGCCATCCCAGGCCTTCCTCAAGGGGACACAGGCCTCCAGCTCGCCCCAGGCCCCACCAGGCCTGCCCACTCCTCAAGATGACCTGCCGGCCCCTCTGCTGGCCTCTGGTTTGCAGGCCCAGGACGGAGGCCAGGAAAAGTGTTTGCTTAGCGGGTGAACTTTGTCTGTGTGTGTTCTGCTTAGCGGGTGGCCAAGTTGGAACAGGCACAGGACAGGGTCCCTGGGGAGGGGGAGAGGGTGGGGGTAGGGCTCCTTCTGGCTGAGCGGCTGAGGGGGCCTGAACTTCGGCAGCCTGGCCCTGTGCTGGAGGCTCTCGACACGAACCGCTCTTTCCCACCAGGAGCGGACGTTCAAGATCCCAGGCCCAGGTCTTGCTGAGGTCTCTGGGCTTGGGTTACTCGTGGGCCCAGCAAAGAAGTGGATGAAAGCGTCTCTGGACTGCGAGCCGCCTCCTTAGGCTGACTTTCCAGGAGCCGGGCCAAGCTGCTCTGAGTTTTGTTCAGGCAGGAGAAGTGGGAGCCGGGATGCAGGAACCAGCGTTCCCTAAACACTCATGCAGCCGATGGGTGCTGCCAAGTCACTGGGCCAGGGACCATGGGCTGACGCTGTGGCCCAGCCACTGGCCGTGGCCCCATACAAGAGTCCACGGTAGCCAGAAGCGGCAGAGCACCGTGGTTGAGAGCTCAGGGTTCGATTCTCACTCGGCTGCTGTGTGACCTTCGGCAGGTCAGTTAACCTCTCTGGGCCTCAGGATGCTCATGTACAAGGCAGGAACCACCACTGCCTCCTGGGGTCATCCAGGCGATTCGGGGAAGGGGCCTAGGACAGAGCCTGCAGCATAAACGCCACTCGGTAACTGCTGGCCCTTGTCAGGCCAGGGTGGCATTGTTCTCCCTTAGGAGCCGGGCTAGGCTGGCACTGGGGGCTTTGGGTCCTGTCCCTAAGGTGGGGGAGGGGCTTGGAGGGAGAGCGGGTGTAGGGAGGGGACACAGGCAGGGCCTGTGTGAGGGCCCTTCCAGAGCTGTGTCCTCCTGTGCCAGACTGTAGGTAAGGCCCCCTTTGTTCTGGGCCCTGGCGGCCCTGGGGCGGCTGGCTGGGAGATTCCTCAGGGCTCTCTGGCCCCAGGCGCGTGGGCCCCAGGCCAGAGCTGGAGCCAAGTCTTCCTCAAGCCTCCCCTCCCCCAACTCCTCTCCCTTGCTTTCCCCTGTGCACAGCTGGGCCCCCAAAGACACGCTGGTCCAAGGGCGTCTCTCCCCTGGGCTGCCCCTAGAGAGGGGAACGCATCGAGTCTCCCAGCTTGGCCCCCACTCGCGAGCCGGGGTTGGAAGGCTGTGGCAGGCACTGTTTGCCGTGTCCAGCCCTCCCCTCCAGGACACGGGCAGTGTTTTCTCAGCTGGGATTGCAGCCGGGGTCTGAGGACCACTGAAGGGTGTGTGTGTGTGTGTGTGTGTGTGTGGCTTGAGCATCACCCTGCCCTCAGCCTGAGTCCCAGCACCGCATCCCCTGGCTGTGTGGTCTCCGACAAGTCCTCTGGGCCTCAGTCTCTTGTGCTATGGAATGGGCACTCACAGTGCCCGCTTGCTCAGGAGGTTGTGTTACAGGGAAGTGCATCAAGCTGTGCCTGCTGCTCCAGCCTCGCGCGCTCTGTGACTTCACACCATCCCCCTTCCCTGCGCCTTCCTCAGTCCTAGGAGAGGGCAATAGAATGGCCCTGAGTGGCAGGGGAACCGGACAGGGGCTAGGGCTAGATGGACAGAGCCTCGGCCTCCTCCTGGCCAGGCCCCAGAGAGGCTGCACAAACCCGGCCCCAGCTGCCTACCCCAGCATCCCTGCTCCCCGAGGGCCTCTGTCTCCCCTGCCCCTGAGAACTGGGCTTCAAGGCGAGCTCAGGTGGCCCGCAGTTAACACAGCTTAGCGATGAAAAGCAAAACCCTGAGCCCAGCCGTGTGACCTTGGGCAAGGTACTTAACCACTCTGCCCCGGCTCTGCCGTCCGTGAACGGGGGAGAGAGCAGCACCTGGCCTGTGGGGCCGGGGTGAGGACGAGGTGAATGCGTTTGTGAGATGCGTGAACGGCGCCGAGCACCTCCTAAGGGTTTGCTTCTCTGTTAGTCCTCAGAAGCCCGGAGCAGAGAGGGAGTGCCAGTCCCACTTCAGCGGCTGAGACACGTGTGGGCAAGGGGGAAGGGACTGACTCCAGGGAACATGTCTGGGTCTCCAGGCTAGGCTTGCCCACCTGTCTGCCATTCTCAGCAGTCTGAGAGGCGGGGCCAGGGCTTTGGACCAAGCAGGACCCAGCCTAGGCTCCAGCTTCCTTTTTCTTCTTCCTCTTCTTTTTTTTTTTTTTTTTAAAGATTTATTTATTTATTTGAAAGGCAGAGTTACAGAGAAGCAGAGAGAGAAGTCTTCCTTCAACTGGTTCACTCTCCAAATGGCCACAGTGGCTGGAGCTGGACCGATCCGAAGACAGGAGTCAGGAGGTCCAGGTCTCCCATGCAGGTGCAGAGGCCCAGGCACCTGCGCCATCTTCCACTGCTTCCCCAGGCCGTAGCAGAGAGCCAGATCGGAAGTGGAGCAGCCAGGACTTGAGCCAGTGCCAATATGGGATGCCGGCACTGCAGGCGGTTGCTTTACGTGCTACGCCACAGCTCAGGCTCCATCCAGCCTCCTTGACCATGTCCCGTGGCGTCCCACCCCACAGCTCTGCTCACGTCAGGCTGGGCAGGATCTGCAGCAGAGACTGTGCCCCCAGAAAACTCAAGGCCATCCCCATTCCTCAGGCCCACTCCAAGGACAGTGGGGAAATATGGGCAGGACCCACAGGCCCCTGGTGCAAGGCCCAGGTCGAGTTCATGTGTCTCTGTCCATCTCTCAGGGCCTGGTGCACTTGTCAGCTTTGGGGAGGGCTGGGGTCCCCCTCACAGTGAAAGCCAGGTCCCCACTGTGGCCTCCAAGGCCTTGTACAATGACAGCCACCCCCTCCTCGCCTCTACCCTCCTGTCCTGCCTCCTGTGCCCGTCCTGGCTACCAGGCTGTCCCCAGGCTAGTGGGCGCAGTCCCGGAGTTCACGGTGCTCTGTGCCAGGCGGGCTGTCCCACCAGCACATCCACTTGCCCACAGCCATCTCGGCGAGGCCCGTGCTGCCCAGTGCTGACAGCGGCCTTGTGTAAGAGGCTTGAAGGCTGGCTCACGCACACATGCACTCCCCATGCAACGGCTGTGCCGCGCACAGAGCAGGTGCTCAGCGAATCTTTGCTGAATGTTCTGGAGCCCGCTGGATCGTCACGAAGCACGGCTGTGTGACACTGCTGAACAGGCCGCCTCAGCTGCCCTTCCCCGAGTCTCGGTTTCCTGAGCCGTAAGGGACTTGATGGGAATAAAAAGAGGGGGCTCTTGCGCAGGGTGAGGTTTACGTGAGTTAGTGCATGGGAAGCCTCTGAACTTCAGTGGTTCATAAAAGTGGGCAGTGAGCAGTAACGCTGTGTGACCTGTGCCACACACAAAGCCTCTGGGAGCCCCAGGCCACCCCTCGTAGGGAAGGCAGGGAGGGGGATTGTCTTGGGCCTGGGCCTGGGCCTGGGGAGGTCCCAGCTCTTGCTCTCATTCATTTGTGTGGTTGCACAAACATTTGCGAAAGGCCTGCTGCACACCATTCGCTGGGTTAGCTGCTGCCAGCTGGCGCAGGGTCCCCGCCCCCAGTGGGTGGCACCATGATGACGTCATGCATTTGGCCTTGATGTGTCCTAGTAGGGGGGGTGATCACAGGTCAGCGCCCCGGCCACTGGAAGTGGTGGGGGGCAGTGCCAGCTGAGGAGGTGTCAGCTGAGCTGAACTTGGAAGACCCGAGCCACGTGGCCATCTCGGAAAAGACCCAGGCCCGGAGGGAGTGTGCTGAGGGGGCAGCAGGGAGCCCAGGGTATGCAGGGGGAGGTGACAAGCCAGGGGAGGGAGGCTCAAGTGCCCTGGGGGAGGCAGTGACGCAGGCTCTAGTACTTGGGTCCCTGCCACCCACATGGGAGACCTGTGTTGGGTTCCTGGCTCCTGGCTCCAGACTCGGCCAGTCCTGGCTCTTGTGGGCATTTGGGGAGTGAACCAGCAGATGTCAGATTCTCTTTCTGCCTTTCAAGTAAATAAAATTTTGAAAGAAGAGTCTGGGGGTGGGGAGGAGGACCACTGGGGGCGTCCCTGTGACAATTGAGTGGTGAGCAACTGGAGCAGGTGCTGAGAGTGGTCGGGTCCCATTATTATGTCTGCTATGGATTCTAGAGTTACGTGATGCAAACCCCAGCAAAGGAGAAGTCTCTTCTTAGTTCCCCCTCAAGGTAGCTCACCAAACATTGGGACCTTCTGGCCTCAGCCCAAAGTGACACGGGGCCCAGAGAGGGTGGGGGTGGGGCTGGCAGTATCCACCAGGAAGCAGCCTGGGGGAGGGGGCCAGTGGCACAGCCCTGGGGACTCAGGCACCCTACAGAAATCCCTGCTGGCCCGTCAGCCCAGCAGCACTGCTTCTGCAGTTGATAGGAACACTTGCACTCTGCACAATGACTTAGGGATGAGGCCACTCTCTGTTACAGAAGCAGCGGAAGGAAGGTTGGGCAAGACCCTCGTGTCGTGGTTTGGTTGGACAGATGGCAGTAAACCCACATGTAGCCGGTGCCTTTGCAGCTCTGGGGCCCGGGTTCCAGTTCTGCGTCGCCTCCTCTGGACCTGGTTCCCTGGCCTCCACTGGCCTCCCCGGCCCCCAGCCTTGCGCTTAGCGCTGGCCTGGGTGCTGTCCACGCCTGTGGTGCTGAAGCCAGTCAGGCTGTAGGCAGGCCTGGGGCTGTGGGCCAGAGACCAACAGAGAAGGGGAAGCAGAGCAGGAGGAGTTCTGGATTCAACCCCGGCTCAGGCCGTCCCGAGCTGAGTGGCCCTGGGGCAGTAGTTTGACCCCCGTGGGTGCTGGTGTAAAGGGGGTGCTGTGAAGGTGGGCAGGTAGCAGGCCCTGGGAACCTTAGCACACTGAGGCAAGTGTGGAGCTTCTTACAGTGTGATCTCAGAGGCCAGAAGTCGTGGGGGCTGAGCTTCGGGACAGCAGAGTGTTGGTGCCTGGATCTGGATCTTGGCTTTGCCATCAGATGATGTGACTGCTCCATGCCTCGGTTTCCTCATCTGTGGACTGGGGCTAACATCAGAGCTCGGGGACAGAGGATTAAGGGACTTCATTAACATGAGGCACTCGGCCCAGGACAGGGGTGCCCTGAGTGCTAGCTGCTTGTCATGGCTTTCCTGTCATTGTCACTGTCAGTCCCAGGACAGCACCTCCAGCCTCCCCATCCACAGTATCACCCACGCGGAGGCCGTCAAAGGGAGACGGCGCCTTCCTCGGCAGACACCCTGGCTTCCAGCCCAGCCCTGCCACTGGCTCTCTGTGTGGCCTTGAGCAAATTCCGGTTCCCTTCTGGCCATCAGTCTCTGAATCTGTACAATGGGCCCAAGGATACCTCTCCCCTGGAAAAGGAACTGTGTGCCCACGGGGTCCCAGTCCAAGGAGCCAAGATATAAAAAGGTACAACTTCCCCAACACGTAAAGAATTATTCACCCGGATTTGTCACACCCTGGCTTGGTGCTGGGAATAGCAAGATGATTAAGGCCTGGGCTTTGCTTTCAAGGAGCTGTTAGGTTCCCTGCTGCATTGTTCATCCGCTTCGAGCCCCGCTCAGGTGTCACTTCCAGAAAACCACGCCATCCCCATCGCCAGGGCCCTCCTTGGAAATGCCGGGGCACTGGCTGTTGCCTTCCTGGCCTCCTGGCGTGGAGGGTCTGTGTTTGCTCTGCCTCTGTCTAACGCACCGCTCTAACCTGCCCACCCCAGCGCCTGCGCCCCGCTAGGTACGCCTGCCTGGAATTGTGAAGCTGTGCAAGTTACATAAACCGAGCTCACACCGGCTTAACCAAGCCGAAAAGGAGAGGTATTGATTCGTGACACACGTGTTCCCGAGGCTCTCGGCCTTCCAGGCAGGCCTGGGCCTGGGGCTCAGACGTCATCAGATGTCGCCCCCTTTCCACTCACCTCCTGGGTGCTTGGTCCTTGGGAAGTTGTCCCCCCGACGGTGGGAGGGGGAGGGCCCGCCCCCAGCGGCTGCACGCTGCGTCCTCCGGCCTCCCGCTTGGCCGAAAGCTGCGGCAAACGTCCACGGGCACAGCCTCGGCAGTCGCCCTTGGTCACGGTGGCCTGGCTGATGGCGTGGATCCAGATAGAGACGACCCCACCAAGTGACAAGGGCAGAGCTGGGATGCCGTTATCCCCCGCCCAGGAAGGGACATAGAGGCTGAGCAGGAAAAAATAACGCATGCTCTTCCCAGAAACCACTGAAAATGAGCCAGGCAAGGATTGTGTCAAGTCTGGGCTAAGACCACTTATCTGACTGCATCTATAAGGAGGATCTGAGGGAGGGACCTGGATGTGGGGGAGGGGCGCTATGCAGGTGCGGAGAGCGGGCCTGTGACACAGGCCAGGGGAAGGCAGCCCCAGCCCCCTCACCCTCCAGAGAAGCAGCGCAAAGCCAGGGAGAGGTGAGAGTAGCCAGCTGTTTCCTCTGTGTCTGAAGTCCTGTCGCATCCCACAAGGACTTTTAAAAATGCGTTTGAGAGACCGATCTCCCATCCACTGGTTCATGCCCCGTGTGCCTGCAGCGGTCAGGGTGGAGGTCAAAGCCAGACGCTGCGGACTCAATCCCAGTCTCCCATGTGAGTGGTGGGACCCACACCGCTGCCTCCCAGGGGGCTGGGGTCAGGAGCCAGAGCCAGGTGCGAACCAGGTTCTCTGGTGATGGGACGCAGTAGGCTAAATGCCTGCCCGAGGTACAATGGCCAGAGGTGGGGGACCTGGGCACCGGGACAGAGAACTTTAGAATCCCAGAGTGAGGAGCTGGCATCACTTGGTCCAACCTCACCCCCCCACCCTCCTGAATCCCCAACAGATGGGTACCCAGCCTCTGCCTTTCCGCCTCCAGCGACAGGGAACGCGCTTCCTTCCTGCCGCATCTTATTGTGAGTTGGGTCTGCTTCCAGGAGTTTCACAGGACACAGAAGCTTCAGCCCGAGAGCTTGGGTTCAAATCCCAGCTCTGCTGATTGTTAGTCCTCGGGCAAGTGACAGCCCAGCTGTGTCAGGTCCTTTGCCAAGGAGCCCACTCGGCTATAGGCATCCGTCTATTAGTATTTGTCCATTCATTCTGGGGCCTGCTTACTATTCATCCATTCCTCATCAGGCAGCCTAATCAACTCTTAAAGGTCGCAGCTCTTAACAGGGTTACGAAGGCCACTGAGTCTCAGCGTGGCATCTGGAGGCGACACTGCCGCACAGCAGTCTCGCTGTAAGAGGCAGCCGGGTGACAGCACAGGGAAGTCATGAAGATTACAGGATGCAGCTCAGGGTGGTCAACGCGGCACCTGGCCCGTGAGAAGCGCTCAAGTGCTTCCACCATCACTCTCCTCCCACCAGACAAGCTGGTCCCTCCCCTGCTGTCGCTGGATTCTGGCCACTGGCTCTCCAGGGTTCGCGCTGCCCTGGTGAACTTCCTCTGGCCGTGTGCCAGGCAGTCGACACCCCGAGGTTCAAGTCCTTGCTCTTTGGCTTCCTTGCAACATAACCCACCCACCAGGGGCAGTGCGAGCTGCTGGGGCTCCGTATCCCAGCAGCGTGACACCTGCCAGCTCACAGAACAGCACGGAGGAGCTCATCCCCGTGTTTTAAGGTTTGGGGGCCCTCAGTGTCAGGCCGTGCACACAGGGTTAAGAGAACAGAGGAGCCTGTCCCAAATCTTCACAGCTACAGCCTGGCTGTGACGCATTGCACATCTGTTCATGTTCCAGTGGGGGGGGGGGGGTGAGCCACGTGGCCACGTTTCCTGCAAGGGAGGCGAGGATGCGTTTCCTGCCGGGCCACCACTCTGCATTGGAGAAGGGGAACCAGGGCATGGGTGGGATGCCTGCACAGCTGTGCCTATGCACCCAAGTCACATTTCAGTGAAGCTGTTTCTTAAAAATAGGGAGTACTTAGCCCCCTTAGAATTATCGGGAGGTCTCAGTGAGTGAAATTTTGCCAGGCCAGCAGTGCTGTGTGTGTGTGTGCACACATGTCTGTATGTGCACACGCGTGCACCTGTGTGGTGGGTTTGTAAGCAGGCTTGTGTTGGGCGCAGTCTCATCGGGGCAGCCCCCAGCTCAAGCCGCCCACCCACAGGAAGCAGTAGGCGGCCCGGTCCTGCTTCTTGCCCAGGAAACTCTCCCCCACCCCTCCCTGGCCCTCCTGGCAGGTGGCAGAGCTGTGACTGCTGCCATGGAGACCTGGGGGTCCCCACCCACACTCAGCAACACAGATGGGAGGTGGCGGGCCTCCCTTGGGGCCGGCAAGGACACACCCTTGAAGGGCAAGGGGGTCCTCCCTCCCCTGGGTGGAGAGCAGTCAGTCACATGTGGGTAGACATCTGCTCCTTCCAGTGGCGCAGCGGCGATGACGGCGATGATGATGAAATATTGGAGGATGGGGTTTGCACTGGCGCCGGACACCTGCCTCGTAACCCCTGCAGGTGGGTGTGTACCAATGCGAGCCCTGGGGATCAGGGAGACCCACACCAGCCTGATGGGTGCTGGGCACGCAAGAGGAGCAGAATGGAGAGGCTGTAGGTGTCCTGGGCTGAGACTGGGCCCTCTTCTGTGCCTCAGTTTCCCCATCTGGATACAGAGAGGTCTGGGTGAGAGATTTCCATCATTCTGGGGTGAGAAAAACAAAAACACAGTGGTTGGAAGTAACTTTGGAGGCAATCCCAGCACTAGCTGTGTGATCTCCGGCAAGTGTCTTAGTCTCTCTGGGCCTTATTCCCAGCCCCTTTCTCAGAGGTAATGCTAAGACCGTGCCCTTAGAGTCAGGGAACTCAGAGGCATCTGTCCTTGGTGTGCATTGGCAGGAAACCAGAGTCAGGATCCAGAGCCTGGACTTGAACCCAGGATGTGAGATGGAGGTACCTTGACCGCTAGGCATGCAGGAAGCAGTAAGGACCAGTGCTGTGATTACTACGGTTATTCTTCCTTGTGTAGATGAAGGCGCTGGAGCTCAGAGACACGGTGCAACTTACTCAAGGTCACCGCACCAAAAAGTGGCACACGCCGGGATCAAGGCCAGCCCGGCTAAGCCTCAAGGCCCGTGCTGTTTCCGTCGCTCCCGCTGTGCCGCTTAAGTCACGTGCATCGAAATTGGGTCAGAGGCAGGGTGTACCTGGGGATGGGCGTGTGTATTAGTTCCTCATCAGCTGCTGTCGCTTCGTGGTGAACAGGCCCAAAGGGAGAGGGAACAGGGAGGAGGAACTCCCTCCCCCAGAACCAGACTCTGCATATCAGGGAAAGGATGGGTTCTGACCCCGCCCCTGCACCTGGGGATCCCTGGGACTGTGGATGGGAGACACAGCTGAGACCATCCTCTGGTCTTGAACAGGGGCCCTGAGGGACAGACAGATCTGTCTCAACTCTGATGCTCAGCAGAGGTAGGAACCAGCACCCTCCAGGGAATCACGGAGGGCTTCCTGGAGGATCTGGCCCTGAAGGTTTGGAGATGCAGGGAGAGGTTAGAGGGGACTGGACAGAAGGTGCTAGGACTGCAGGGAGGCAGTGCAACGAAGTGGTCAATGCATGGGCTGGCCTGAGGTGAGGGGGCACTTGGGGCTCATGCCCAGATGATTGCAGGAGCAGCTGGGAGTGCCCCAAAACAGGAGGCTTGAATGCGTGTGTGCACACACAGGCCTGCCTGGCTCAGCAGCCCAGCCTCTCCCTGGCCGGCAAGTGGGGAAAGAGTTCAAGGCCAAGAGGGCTATGGACTGGTCAGAACCCGCAGACACCCGCATGCCCCCCAGGAAAGACCGAAGGACCAAGGACACACTGGCCTGAGCATGCCAGTCCAGAGCCAGCTTTCCCGCGCCTTCCTGCCGGCACCGAAGCAAACTGTTTTCCAAGTCAGGATCCCTGTCACTTAGAAAATGCGTGGGCATTTGCTGAGGGTTAGAAGAGATGACCCCTAAAAGCCCTGAGGCCAGGAAGAAGCTGTCACCCTGGTTCAGCCCAGCAGGTGGCTACGGCCAAGAGGGACCCCAGTGGTGCCCAGCCCAATGCTGGGACTGCGTAGAGACCTGGTGGCAGGTGCTGTGTCAGGGTTGTCTTTATCTTATTTGAGAGGCAGAGAGCTCCCAGCTGCTGGTTCACTCCCCAAGTAGCCACAGCTGGAACTCCATCCAGGTCTCACACATGGGTGACAGGGACCCAAGTGCCATTGCCACTGCCTCCCAATATGTGCATTGGCAGGAAGCCGGAGTCGGGATCCAGAGCCAGGATATGAGATGCAGGTACCTTGACCGCTAGGCCAAGCACCTGCCCTTGCCCCATGTCAGGGTTTGGGGGTAGAAAGGGGAGGAAGCAGGGCCGGGCTCCCGGAGGCCTGGCACCATCCCTCCCGCTCAGGGCCCTCTGAGGACAACCACGTGGCGTTTCACACAGTCCCTGGCACGCCTTCTGATGAGAGCCGACCAGAAAAGAAACGGCGATAGCTCCAAGTGGAAGGTTCTGCTGGGCCCAGGCTCGTGACCAGAGCTGGCTCATGAATGGAGGGGAGAGGGGCCGAGCAGGCAGTGAATGAGGAAGCAGACGGTGGGGGGCAGGCGAGGGAGGGAGGGAGGAGGGCTCCCCGCGCCCCAGGCAGCTGAGACAAGGTGCAGATGGAGCTCTGCTCTGTGCAGGGCTGGGTGGGAGGCCAGGAAGTTCCCTTGGTGGGAAGTGGGAGGCTGGGTCGTGCTGGGAGCGAAGGGGAGGGCAGAGCAGAAGACGCTTGGGGGCCTGGGAGGAGCCGCCTGGCCAGTGGGAGGAGCCAGGCCCCTGAGCAGCTCACCCTCTCCCCACCCCCAGCACTATGCAACAGCCCCTGCTCAGCAAGAGAGAAGGCAGCTGGTGGTTGCGGCTCACAGAGCACTGGCTGTGCACCAGGCAGAGAGACCTGCCGTCCGTGGGTTCACTCCTCAAATGCCCACAGAGAGCTAGGGCTAGGCCCGGACCCCTGCTGAGAGCAGGAGCCAGGGACCCAGTCAAGGGAGCTGTCGCCGCTGTCCCCCAGGGTGCACATGAGCCGGAAGCTGCAGTCAGGAGCCAGATCCGGGACTCGCCCCGGTGCAGTGTGATGTGGGACACGGCGTCTTTGCTGGGCCAAACAGCCACTCCTGTAGAACTCGTGGGATGAAGGCACTGTTTCCCCACCCTTTGCACACAGGCATTGCCCAAGCGAGGGTCGGGGTTCGAGGCCAGGCTGTCAGGCCTTCTCTCAGATGTGAGGGGTGGGGGTGCCAGGGTGACACACCTGGGACCAGCGGAAGTAGGGAGTAAGAGGAGGGCAGGGGGCGGGGCACACCAGGAGGCAGCTCCCAGGGCACAAGGCACCTGCACCGCTGCTCCTGGGAAAGGCTTGGCTCCCCAGGGCCACCCCTCCCCCCGCTGTACGGTGGAGAAAGGAAGGCCTGGGAGTGGTTGCCTAGAAACAGGGGTGATGAGGGACGGGCCTTCCACAAGGGCCAAAGGAACGGGGGAGTGATGGTGCCTGGGTGGTCTCCACAGTGACAGCTCCCTGAATGCAGGCACAGGGCAGCTCATCCCAGCGGCCGGGCATGGGTGCTGTTCCCCATCAGCGCAAGTACACCTCCACACGACGGGAAATGAAGTGGAACCCAAGTAAAACACGGGGGAGATGAGAGAAGGGGAGGGGGCTGGTGCTGTGATGCAAGCCCCAGCCTGCAGCGCTGGTCCTATGTGGGCGCCGGTTTGTTCCACTTCCGATCCAGCTCTCTGCTATGGCCTGGGAAAGTACTAGAAGATGGCCCAAGTCCTTGGGCTCCTGCCACCCATTGGGAGACCCAGAACAAGCTCCTGGCTCCTGGCTTCAGATCAGCTCAGCTCTGGCTGTTGTGGTCATCTGGGGAGTGAACCAGCCGATGGAAGACCTCTCAGGCTCTAGCTCTCTCTGTTAACTCTGTCTTTCAAATAAATACAATAAATCTTTAATAAAAGAGAGAAGGGAAGGCCTTGGGTGGGACAGTAGTCCCTTGCCTCCACTTGGAGCCTTCGAGAGGTGCGTCTTGACCCCCAGCCCTGGACTCCGCCCTCTGGGGTGCTTTGTTCTTCCCACCTCACAGGTGCAGTTGGAGACCATCAGCAGCTATGAGGGCCCTGTCCAGGAACACCATCCAGCTGTGTGCACACTGATTTTATTTAACAGGCAGTGGGATACTCTCCAAATGACTGAACTGCCAGGACGAGGTGAGGCTTGTGGGACTCCATCCAGGCCTCCCACGTGGGTGCAGGGGCCCAAGCAGTTGGGCTTTTCCCAGGCCTTTACCAGGGAGCTGGATTGGAGGCAGAACAGCTTGGACTGGAACTGGAAACTAGCACCCATATGGGATGCCGGCACCACAGGACACAGCCTAACCCACTGCACCCCAGCTGGGCTGTTATGGGACAGGTGCACCAGGGGCTGGGTGGGGCCCTGGGCTCACAGCTGTGTTGTGTGTGCGAAAGTGGGGTTGTGTTGTCCCCTTGGCCGTATGTGGCAGTGTTAGCGGTGACCACGTCTGTCTCAGACCTGCCCTTCGACAGTAACACACGTGTGGGATCACAGGGTTGGCCCATCTCCCCAGCGGGTTGGGGGGATGTGAGCCCCCTGAGAGCAGGCTCCTTTGTCCCCATCTCCCTAGGGTTTTGTAGAGCGCTTGGCAACAGCAGGGACTTCCTTAGAACCTGTGTATGGAAGCACTCAGTGTGTGTGCCCCCATCTGTGTGTGACACAAACACGCGTGCCTCTTCTGACACTGTGGACAGCGCGAGGGGTGGGTCTGGGACTGGCCCCCATTGCTTCCTAGAGGCCGATGTGACAAAGATGCTTGTCGCCCCCTGCTGGCCATCCTGGGTCTAGCATCTGGGCCCAGCCTCAGAGTTCCTGAGTGCTGGGAAGGCAGGAGGGAGCCCCTGGCCTGATGTCCTGGTCACGCCGTGTCTTCCACAACAGGGAGAAGATGAGCGTGGGCTGCCCAGAGCCCGAGCCACCCCGCTCCATGCCCTGCTGTGGGCCGGGGGCCGCCCCGGGGCCAGGGGCCGGGGTGCCCCTCCTCACGGAAGACATGCAGGCGCTGACGCTCCGCACGCTGGCCGCCAGCGACGTCACCAAGCACTACGAACTCGTGCGGGAGCTGGGCAAAGGCACCTACGGCAAGGTTGACCTGGTGGCCTACAAGGGCACAGGTGAGTGTCTGGGGACCCCTTGTCTGGGGCAGTCTGGTGCTCTGTGTGGGACAGGAGGTGAGGGAGGAGTCTAGGGGGAGGGTGCCAGACTGGGGCTGGCTGCTCTGGGGCCATCTGGGGTGACTTTGAACCTGGAGCGAGGGGCTGGCAGTTGGGTTTGGGGAAGCAGAATGGCCATTGTCTCCGTGATGGCTGACCCTGGGGAGAGGGACAAGGGGCTGAGGGCGGGTCCTCAGGCACCAGGCACCATGCTGCAAAGTAGGGGGTGCAGGAGCTGACCCTGGGAATTCAGCATCTCCAGGGCTCAGATGGGGACACAGACCCAGAAGCTTGAGTCACTTGGCCAAGATCCTGCAGCCACTGAGGCTGTGAACTCAGATGACCCCAGCCAGCCCCAGAGCCTTACCCTTACCTCTGAGCTGGTCCCTCTCCTCCCCCGACCCACCCGCCAAAACTGTGGACTCACAGCAGTGCCCACTCAGCCAAGCAGGGCCAGGGGCCATGTGAGCTGCACACATCTGGGGCTGGAGTTCTGTGCCAGCCGAGGGCAGCAGGGCGAGCCCGACATCTGGTCACCTGAGCTTCGCCACCTGCTTGCTGTGTGACCTGGGGCCAGTGACTAAACCCCCTCTGTGTGTGCCTCAGTTTCCTCTACATGAGTGCCCACTTCACGGGGTCCTGAAGTGTGAGTTGTGCGTGTGTGAGGTGCCCAAGGCAGTGCCTGGGGTCTGCGTAGGGGCTATATGGACGCACCCAGGGGGGTGTCCAGGCTCAGCTGGGGACCTGTGCCTTGCACTGTCGCAGTCTTTCTCATGCGCCCCTTGCTGAGGACTTGGGAGATGCACTCCAGCTTCAGGAGACCAGGAGACACAGAGGTTCAAGCTCCCTTGTCAGCCACAGGGGACTGGGTTCAGGACCCCCAGCAGTTACCAAGACCTGCAGATAGCATAGCATTTGCACACAACCTATATGGATCCTGCTGTATACTTCCCATCATCTCTAGGTTATTTGTACTGCCTGATACAATCACAAGGCTATGCAGGTTGTTGCTATTCTGCATTGTTTAGGGAATAATGACGAAAAACAAGTCTGCGCATGCTCAGTATAGACCCCCCCCCCCCAAACATTTCCTACCCGCGGTTGGTTGAATCCCTGAGCCTGGAGCCAGAGCACACAGAGGGCCGGCTGCTCGAGGAGACTTCAAAAAGTTCACGAAAATGCAACAAAAAAATTGACATTGGTGCAAAAAAAATGTTTGCAGTCCATGCATCCTGTTTTCAAAATGCGCATTCTCCAGGAGTTTCTTGAGACCGAGGGTCTGGTTGGCAGAAAGCCTGGGAGTCGTGGAAGCCACAGGCCCTCAGGGTGGGGTGGGGGAGCTGCAGGTGGCAGGGAAGACCCAGGGTGGTCCTGTGGCCTCAGGCCCCGCCCCGCGCCTCCTTGCTGGGGGGGGGGGGTCAGGTGCAGGAGGGAGAGGGGCGGGCTTCCCCACTGGCTGTCTTCCCCATTCCCCATCCACTCCCACCCCCACCCCCAGGCACGAAAATGGCCCTGAAGTTTGTGAACAAGAGCAAGACGAAGCTGAAGAACTTCCTGCGGGAGGTGAGCGTCACCAACAGCCTGTCGGCCAGCCCTTTTATCATCAAGGTCTTCGACGTGGTTTTTGAGACGGAGGACTGCTACGTGTTCGCTCAGGAGTACGCGCCCGCTGGGGACCTGTTTGACATCATCCCTCCCCAGGTACCTGGGTTGGTGGCTCGGGGAGGGGAGATGGCCCTCAAGCCCCCAGAAAGGGGAGGGAGGGACGGATCACTTCCGGGTGCACCTGCTGGTGTACCTTAGGTCAATGTCCAGGGGGCGGGGATGCGGTGAAGGGACTACACAGTCTCTCTGTGTCCTGGGTTTTGCCCGAGATGGAGGTTCCAGGTCCCCTTGGCACAGGGCCCTGTCGGGTCGGACATGGCCCTGGAGCCCGGAGAGTGGGGAAGGGTCACAGGCAAGTGCCCTACCCCGTGGGTCTCCCGCAGCTTCCACGCCCCTGTTCGGGAAGGGGCGCACGGCGGCTGCCACCTATTAGGGGAGTGATGAGACCTGGCTGTCGCCGTGCTGTGGCCGCGGTTCCTGGGCAATGGGTGCGGCGCGGAACCCCTACCTCCTCCCCTCCCCTGGCCTCTTCCCCCCAGCTCCGAGAGGGAGCTGGGCGGGCGCTGGGTTGGGTGGGCGGACGGGTAGTGCGCGGCCGGCCTCTGAGCGCGCCTCTCCCCGCCGCCAGGTGGGGCTGCCCGAGGACACAGTGAAACGCTGCGTGCAGCAGCTCGGGCTGGCGCTGGACTTCATGCACGGGCGGCAGCTGGTGCACCGCGACATCAAGCCCGAGAACGTGCTGCTGTTCGACCGCGAGTGTCGCCGCGTGAAGCTGGCCGACTTCGGCATGACGCGCCGCGTGGGCTGCCGCGTGAAACGCGTGAGCGGCACCATCCCCTACACGGCGCCCGAGGTGTGCCAGGCCGGCCGCGCCGACGGCTTCGCCGTGGACACGGGTGTGGACGTGTGGGCCTTCGGCGTGCTCATCTTCTGTGTGCTCACAGGCAACTTCCCGTGGGAGGCGGCGTCGGGCGCCGATGCCTTCTTCGAGGAGTTCGTGCGCTGGCAGCGCGGCCGCCTGCCCGGGCTCCCGTCGCAGTGGCGCCGGTTCACCGAGCCCGCGCTGCGCATGTTCCAGCGCCTGCTGGCCCTGGAGCCGGAGCGCCGCGGCCCGGCCAAGGAGGTCTTCCGCTTCCTCAAGCACGAGCTCACGTCGGAGCTGCGGCGCCGGCCCTCGCACCGCGCGCGCAAGCCGCCCGGGGACCGCCTGCCGGCCGGGCCGCTGCGCCTCGAAGCGCCCGGGCCGCTCAAGCGGACGGTGCTGACCGAGAGCGGCAGCGGCTCGCGGTCCGCACCCCCCGCCGCTGCCCCTGCCGCTGCCGCCGCCGCCGCCGGGCCGGCGCCCGTGCCCGTGCCTGAGGCCGGCCTGGCGCCCCCCGGGCCCCCCGGCAGGACCGACGGCCGCCCGGACAAGAGCAGAGGGCAGGTGGTGCTGGCCACGGCCATCGAGATCTGCGTCTGAGCCGCCCCCGCCGCCCGCGGGCCAGGCGGGGGTTTCGGGAGCCGCCCCAGGCGCGCCCCGAGCCGGTGCGGGCAGCGGCGGGAGACGGAGTAGCCGGCGGGAGTAGCGGTAGCAAGGGCGGGATGGCCGCCGACAGACCTCCCGCGCCTCGTGGGGTGGGGGCTGGGCCCGGGGAGCCGAGCCCCCTCACACACGCACTCACACACACACGCACAACACATGCACACCGGGGAACGACGGAGCTTGCGGGCCGGACACCCCCAGCCCCGGAGCTGCCCCTGCCCCTTGGTGCCCCCTGGCGGATCGTCCCGCAATCCCACCCTCACCCAACCCCCCGCTTCCCAACGAACCCCGACCCGGGCCCTGGACAAAGAGAGGGACTGAACGTGGGCGGAGAAGGAGCTTCCGGGCCTTGGACACTGGCTGGAACGAGGACATGGAGCTGAGGGCTGCTGGGACCTGTCCCTTTCTTGGGAGGCTGCAGGTAGAGGCCCAGCCCTGGAAAATGTAGCAGATGTCTGCGTGCGTGTGCGTGTGCGTTTGTGTCTGTGTGTGTTGGGCACAGGCCCTAGGACACCTCGGCGCCCCTCTTCCTCGGATGAGGACCCTAGCCCCGCAGAGAGGGGCCCTGCCCTGGGCCACTGACTGGCAAAGCCCCTTAAGCCCTCCCCCTTCCACCCCTGCCGCAGGCCATGGCCGGCCCCGCAGTCCTGACAACTCCAGGGCGGGACCCAGCCCTCCTGCCTCCGCCGGCTGCAAGGTAACCTGCACCAGGATTTTCTGCTGGGTTTTTATTGAGTCGCCCTTGCCGTGTGCCTGCAGGTTGCTGGAGGGGGCCAGGAGCTGCGGCTGTGTGGGAGAACGGGTCGTGGAAGCACAAGGGGTGTGTGTGCACACAGGTGTGTGTGTAGCCTCAACGTTCCAACGACCACACATCCTGACGCCTCAGAAGGCCCCGCCCACCCCCATCAGAGGGTGCCCAGGCCTGGTTTCACCACACCCCTCAGGGAGGCACCTGCTGGTTGGTTCAGGCCCCTGGGCAGCAAAACAGACTAGAGGAACCCAGCTTTGCCCAGCGCCCCCTGGTGGTCACCCCCGGCCCTCTATGGAGGCCTGGGACCCCCGCAATAACCTCAACAGGGACCCGGCTGCCCCTCAGCCCGGCAGTGCCCTGTCCACCATACCGGGCCGCCCCTACCGGGGTCTCTTCTGGGTTCCGGGGCATTGATGGGCCAGGCTGGCTGTGAGGAGCTCCCAGGCACCCCCCTGGCCTGGAGCCCCCACCTCTCCGCTCACTCCTCATCTCCACCGTGCAAAGGGCTATGGGTCCCCCCGCCCTGCCTGGGTCCCGTTTACAAACTGCGCGGCTGCCCCAGGACTGGCCCTGCCCCCCACCGTGTGCCCGCTCCTCCCCATGGGCATGGGGCCCTCCACATGCCAGGTAAGTAGCAAACCCCTTCTCCTGCCAAGAGCCAGGTCTCAGAGAAGGCCCCTCCCCCATCACTGCCCCCTCCCCAGCTGGAGCCCATGGGGTCCACTTCTCCCAGCCGCGACTTCTTCTGCCTTAGGCCTCTCTCCACGTCTGGTGTCTCCTGCAATAACAAGGAAGCGAGATTCCGCAGTCCTCGTCTCTCTCTCTCTCTCCTCTCTCTCTCTCTCTGTTAAGATCCTGTGAGGGAGTCCTCTCCCGTGTCGTAGTATCTAGGGTGTTAGCGTGGGGAAGCGACTGTAGTGACGGAGCCCCGTCCCCCTCGGTTTGGGTGCCACCAGTCTGGCCCCAAGGCGGGACCGGCCCCAGGTCAGGGCACCCTGGCCACTGCCGCCGCCGCCGCTGTCTCTTGGTCAGATCAGGACCCTCTGCCCCTTTAGCAGACCTGTTGGTCACAGATGTTTACCTCAGTTTATGTCACTGTCGAAGAAACACAAAATAATAGCAAAAAATTAATGCCACCGTAGACATGAAGACTTACAAGACAAAAAAAAAAAAGACAAAAAAAATTTCCCCCTTGCAATTCTGTGAAGGTACTGTGTGCGTGCGTGTGTGTGTGTGTACACGTGTGTGTGTGTCTCTGTCCCACCCCAGGCAGGCTGGGTCATCCCCGGCCTCTGTCCCAGCCCCTGTGTCGCCATACTGCCCCCCCCCTTGGTGCTTCCAGAGACCCCTCTGAGCTGGCCTGTGGGGCGTGGGGAGCCCCCAGGGCGGGGGGCAGGGCCGCAGGTCAGCTGGAGGGTCTCCCATCGGGCCCACAGAGCAGAGCCCCCAGGGCTGCCTGAGGCACCCTGAGCCCATGCTGTGGCCGGTGGGACAGTCCCATTGGCTGGCAGCAGCGTCCGAGCCTGGCTCAGGGCCTGGGGCGGGGGGCCTGGGTGGAATTCCAGGCCTGGAGCCCCAGACTCATGTCTCGTACCCTGCCCCTGCCCCACGTATTTGTAAATATTCTTTGGCCCCAAAAAGCTTTTTAAATGTGTTATTTACTTCTCTAATCATGACACTTGCTATAAAATAAACAAAAGTTTAGAAAAACGACCACGGGGTGGCTGTGCTGTTAAAGATGGGAAGGGGTACACGGGGCCACTCAAACTTGACCTTGGGGGCCAGTGCTGTGGCATAGTGGGTTAGCCCTCTGCCTATGGCACCAGCATCCCACGTGAGTGTGGGTTCATGTCCTGGCTGCTCCTCTTCTGATCCAGCTCTCTGCTGTGGCCTGGGAAAGCAGTAGAAGATGGCCCAAGTCCTTGGGTCCCTGCACCCACGTGGGAGACCTGGAAGAAGCTCCTGGCTCCTGGCTTCATATCGGCACAGCTCCAGCCATTGCGGCTAATTGGGGGAGTGAACCAGTGGATGGAAGACCTCTCTCTCCCTCCCTCTCTCTCTCTCTCTCTCTCTCTCCCTCCCTTTCAAATAAATAAATCTTTAAAAAGAAAGATCCTCCAATAGATCCCAATTGCACCCAGAATCAAAGCTGAATTCCAGAGGTGGCCTCCAAGGTCGCACATGGCTTGACTCTATGTCCCTCCAGCACCATGGAGAGCTCTCCCCCCTCCAGGCCACCAGCCAACACCACAGCCCCTGCTTGTCCAAGGTCACCAAGCACGTGCTCACCTCAGGACCCTTGGACTGTCCCAGATCTGCCCCAGGGAGAGATCTCCCTGCTGTCCCTCAGGCCCCTGCTCTGACTTCAGAGGTTCCCAGGAGATTTCCCGAGTGACAGCTATGTGGAGCAGAAGCCCCTCGCCATGCCTCATTACACACGTGAGTAGCCGTCATCACCTGCAATGTGTGTGTGTGTGTGTGCACATGCGCCCTCTTCCCCACTGGAACACAGTTCCTGTCAGTGACCACGTCTGGCAAAGGTGCCCGCCCTCCCCAGCCCCTAAGGCCAAGTTCAAGGTCTAACAAGTGGTGGACGCGCCCTGACAATTTGTCAATGAACAGATGAGTGCTGGGGACTATACTGGGGACAAGGACACAGCAATCAACAAGACAGGCCGGCGCCGCGGCTCACTAGGCTAATCCTCTGCCTTGTGGCGCCGGCACACTGGGTTCTAGTCCCGGTTGCCCCTCTTCCAGGCCAGCTCTCTGCTGTGGCCTGGGAAGGCAGTGGAGGATGGCCCAAGTGCTTGGGCCCTGCACCCCATGGGAGACCAGGAGAAGCACCTGGCTCCTGCCTTCGCATCAGTGTGGTGCGCCGGCTGCAGCGCGCCGGCCGTGGCGGCCATTGGAGGGTGAACCAAAGGCAAAGGAAGACCTTTCTCTCTCTCTCTCTCTCACTGTCCACTCCTGCCTGTCGGAAAGAAAAAAAAAATTAAAAAAAAAAGATAAATCATCAGACATCTGCACTCAGTCTCCTGACACTTAAAGAGGCAACACAAACCTTAGATAGGTTCCATAATTGCTTATGAATATTTGGGGGGGGGGTGAAAAGGAAGAGGAAAAAAAAACCCACCCTAAGCAGATCAGAAGAAGAATGCCCAAGAATTTGATGGAGCATACGTTCAAGAAAATCTGTCATTTCAAGACACCTGCCACTCTCTGCTAGTGCCAACAGGGGCTACCCAAGGACAGCAGGCCCCCTGCTCTGACTGTTTGGGGTGGGGGGCTGGCCTGGTGGTGCACTGAGCTAAGCAGGCACCTGCAACACCCGCTTCCCATACTGGAGCATGGGTTTGAGTACCCAGTGCTCTGCTTCCAATCCAGCTGCCTGCCGATGCACCTGGCAAAGCTGCAGATAACAGACCAAGTACCTGGGCCTCTGCTACCTGGGTGCAGTTCCTGGCCCCTGGCTTTAGTTGGCCCAGCCCTGGCTGTTGCAGCCCTTTGGGAAAGGAATCAGCAGATGGAATATCTCTCTCTGTCTTTGTCTCTCCCTCTCTCTATATAACTCAGACCTTCATAATAAATAAATAAATCTTAAAATGGTTGTGAGACAGTGGGTGCCAAGCACAGTACAAGGCTCTGGAGATCTGAGATGCACAGATCTAAGTAACTTCCTTATTACTAGGGAGTTACAGCAAAAAGGATTCAAAGTTCAAATGGACACAGGAGCTGAAGACAAAGATGGAGACAGGGCTGACACTAAAGGAAACAGCTCTGGACTGGTAGGAGAAGTCCTGAGCAAGGCAGGAGTACAGAAGATGAAGGTCAAGGTGACCCCATCTGCAGACAGGGCCCTGGGGGACCACCCGGAGATGAAGAGCACCCAAAAGCTGTGGCACAGCCACCAGGAAAGTGCGCTGGGCACAGGGAGGACTTCCAAGCACCAGGAAGACCAGCAGAGAGAGCATTTCCTAAAGAAGGTGACAGAAGGAAAATGCAGGGCCCAAGGACAACACCTGGGAAACACAGAGGTCAAGGGCAGTGGGGAAATGAGGGTGAGAAGAACCCTACGGGATCAGGACTCAAGAAGGTAATGGGGGGCGGCAGCATTGTGGCAAAGCGGGCAAAGCCACTGCACACAGTGCCAGCATCCCACATGGGCATCAGTTCAAGTCCCGGCTTCTCCACTTCTAATCCAGATCCCTGCTAATGTACCTGGAAAAGCAGTGGAAGACAGCCTGAGTGCATGGGCCCCTGCACCCATGTGGGAGACCCAGAAGAAATTCCTGGCTCCTGGCTTAAGCTCGGCCCTGCCCATTGCAGCCATTTGGGGGAATGATCAAGGTAATGGAAGACCTCTCTCTCTCTCCCACTCTCTCTCTCTCTCTCTCTCTCTCTCTCTCTCTCTCTCTAACTCTGTCTTTTAAATAAATAAGTCTTTAAAAAAGGCAACAGTCGGGGGGTTGTTCTCTGGCAAGAAGAGAAATGGGCATGAATGTGA